TGCCATATTCCTTCACGACGATCATGATCTCCACATCTATTTCATTATTTTCTTCGAATTACCATGTCTTCTTCAGAAGCAGACTGCTTTCCAGTTCTGTTCTCCGTGGATTGGAATTCAGAGTTTTCCTTCTCTTAGATTGGTTTCCACCTATGTCTAGGTACCGAATCTACTCTGCTATTTAACTCATACCTAGAGGGTAAAGAGACGGATTCATGACTTCCCTAAGGAAGTTTGTGCGAAAGTGAATGCAATAGACTATCCCGGAAATTGAACTCGGTTCACCAGCGAAGATCAAATTGCGTATGCTAAAAAAAAAAAAAAAAAAAAAAATGTTTTGCTGAATCACTTTTAATGAAAAAAAAAAGAAAGGAAAAACACCTTTAAATTAGTATTCTTTTTTCTGCATTCATTTTTTTTATTCTGTTTTGCTTAATACCGTTGCTTCGGACTCTGTAGCTCTTTAAATAAATTTCAAACGGTTCCATGAAATCAATCTGACAATGAAACATTAACGCCTGAGTAGACCTTTGATTATTATCTCTCCATATATCTTGCGTTTTTATTCTTGCATTAATTTTTTTTTGAACGAAAAAGGAAATTCAAAAGAAAATTAAAATCTGCACGAATCAGTGACAGATTGAATGTTGCTTAGAGATCACCTCTAAATTTATTAATAAAATTCATGTTGTTGGGATAAGAATCAATTTGAAAAAAATCACCATCTACCATGTCTTCCAAGAAGGAGGAAACGAGATAAACCTTCCTAAATCAGAAACTATGATCTGGAATCGGAATGAAATCGACGCTGATTGTCTCAATAAAGTCTTACTCTTGGCATTTCATGGATTCTTTTGGTGGATTTAGGATACAGGTTTGAAATTGGTAAATAATAAACAATTCGACTATCTTGTAGATATAGAGTCAGGCATCGTTACGAGGTTGAAACATCATCGTGCAATTATAAACTAGTCATTACTAGCAATACATATATATATATATATATATATATATATATATATATAAATATAGGATATATATATATATAAAGAGAGGGATAAAGAAATATAAAAGACACTGAGGTCAACACTGAGCGGTGACAATCTGTTTCATACTTGAAAAAGACTGAAGCTTAGTGATGACCCCAGTGTCTGCTGTTATATTTTCATATCTATTTACGCTCTTTCGCTGATATTCAGCACTTTTTCTCATAAACATAGCCTACATTAAAACTATATTTTTAACATATATATATATATATATATTAAATTCCCAGATCAATTCTAGGACAGTGAAAATTGGTATAAATAACAATTGGAAAAATCTTAGATTTTGCTGACGCATTTCGTCTTCCGATTTTCAAAGGAAAAATGAATTGAAATCTCTTTTGTTATAGTTACAATATCTTAGTATAAAGGAAATTTAGATTAGCCAGAAAAAGGCTTAGACAGAAGCGTCTATCTATTTAAATTTGGATTTTTTAATGTAACTATAACAACAAAAACATTTCGATTTCATTTTTGCCTTGAAAAAGTCGGATGTTAATCACTTATAACACATTTTATAAATGAGATAAAGAAATTGACTGTAGAATGTGTTACGCTAGGAGTAGTTCTCACAAAATCAGAACAATAACATAAAAACTCCAGTCATGTTCTTAAATAGCCTCATCAGTTCCAGACTGTCATATAGATGCCATGCATGAAGCCAAACTCGTTCAGAAATATCAAAACTTTCAGCTGTGCTTTCTTTGGTACCTCGAGGCAATGTAATTTTTAGCAAGCTTGTCTCGCTAGAACATTTACGACTGAGTAGTGAGTTCGATCCTAACTGGGTGCCCTAACTATGCTTGGAAAATCACTTGGAACACTTTCTTAGATCAATGGCTGAAGGTAGCTTCGAGCGAATGAAAAATGTAGGTCATAGCAAGAATCATCCTTCTTCGAATCTTGCGGACTGGGATCTCAAAGAACCACATTCTCTGAGGATATTCAACAACAACAATAACTAACATGGATAGCAGATGTAACACGAATGGAAAATAATGATATAAACAAGATGTTTACTTCCCAAAAATGTTACGAAGCAAATCCCTTCTGTACTGGAAAGAGTAATAAGGATAATTAAACTTGAGATACCATAAAAGTCGAGCTCCATTCGGATTCTCTAACATTTGGAGATATCAGTTCTTAGGACAGACTGGGTCCTGTAGCCTTGCGCGGCAACCAGTCTAGGAGAAAATTCTGAATTCAAACCAGCCTGCAGAGGTATGGCCTCCATCAGGATATTTTCTTGAAATCGTCTTAATAGAAAGATTTTATAAATTTCAACCGATGGTAGCACCGACTGCTCGGTCAATGAATGCCGGATGTTTCCTTATTAGGAAACGGCTAATATTTCTATTACCATATTGCGTTCTCAGATAAATAATTTCAAAAGAATATAATGATATCTCCATACCCATGACATATTTCGCCCAAAAGTGTTACACGTGCTGCAATATGCATATTTACTAAGTTTAGCTTAGTGAGAGCATTCAGGGAAGAACGAATTCAATGAACAGTGAGTAAGCTTATCATCAGGATTCTAATGTATAGAGCTGGTAGCAAAATTATAGGGGAAAATGTAAAAGAAGAGTGTAGTTTTGTTAAAGTCGCTAGACCAAGAAATGCAATATGTCTGATCAGAATGGTAGCAGAGTGAACAATAAAAACGTGCAAAAAACTGTATCTCATAGGCGAAAGCATTTGGTCAGATTGGACCAAAGGATCTATTTAAGCTGTTAGGAAAACTCAATTTATTTCGGAAATATGTTAGAATAATCTACAAGATTTCCTGGAAGCAAACTATCTGCATACAAAACGAATTGAATAAAAATACAAAAAAAAAAAACAAAAACAAAAATGAATTGAATATATACGCAGAAAACAGAAAGGGGCCTAAGAAAGGATGCATCTTCTCACCGTGTTCATTTAAGTTTTCCATTCTATCCAAATAGGTTATGATTAAGTCCTTGGGTAAGCCAATCATGTAACACTACAACGCCTTCATCAGTGAGAAACTTCTTTGAAAAAATGCGATGTATTGCAAGGTTATCTGTTGTATCCGGTGATAGGTACGACTTTAACAGGAGTGTGACTTCTTGATGGTATCGGACTGAGGGGGCAATCACAATATGTGTCACCGTTGGAAAGTGGATGGAACCCATACCACCAGATCGACCCAAGCCTATCGAATAGAGGGAACTTGTCGGAAGTCGTTGATGGTTTTACAAGCAAAAAAAATCACAAGTTATCATGACTGAGCCTTTGAGGATAATGACAATGTTCAAACTGCTGGTCATGACGGATTATGTGCTGTTCACCAGAAACTGTAGCTAAGGATCGTTCAGTATAGTTGCGGTATAAACAACAGGTGGGCACTGTGACAGAAAAACAAATCGGCCTGAATTGTCGTCTACGACAGGGATAGGCTAGCAGGTTTTTTTTCCTGATGATGTCTATGCTGGTCGAGACTAGTTGAAGATCCTAATTTAAATAATAAAACAAACATTAATATAGAACACAGTGTATCTGAAATTTTAATTTTTTAACATTTTTTTATTGTTCAACACACACACACACACACACATATATACATATATATATATATATATATATATATATATATATATATATATATATATATATATATATATATATATATGTATATATAAGTCAGTTATGTGCCATGCGTGTGGTACGCTTGTGATCATGTATCTTTCGATACATGACTAGAGGAAAACGATTTTTTTCTAGGCAGTATGTTGCCATTTCTTTCTGCGGTAGACCAGTTGTCATCCAAGGCTACAGAACCTCGTCTGTCCGGGGAGAAGAAGAGTATTAGCACGTAAGTGAATGTAATGGATTCGACTGGAATTCGAGGTCGGCTCCGTATCCTGACTCTCTGGATTTCTCCATTACTCGACCTCGCCTCCTTATATACATGTAAGTGATAAAAATTAAGGCGTAGGGAAACTGAGTATGAAACGAAGTAAAAATTTTGAAAAAAAAAGAAGTAATTTCAACGTTCCAACATCTTCAGCGTTTCCTCAAGCGTTGGTGGGGTGGGGGAAGGGATATAAAAACGTGAGAGTTGGTCACTATTAAGCAAATTATAACTGACAGATATTCTTTCAACAAAAATATTACTTTCGTCCGATGAAGTCTTTCTAGACAACGGAAACCATTAGACAGTATTTTTTCCCACTTTGTCATTCCTTTGGAAAACATTGTTATATATAATTTGTTATCATATTCTCATATATATATATATATATATGGATGATATAAATGTTTATATTATATATATATATATATATATATATATATATATATATATATATATATATATGTTTATATATATATATACATATGAATGATATATGAATGTCTATATCATATCATATATATATATATATACATATATATACATGGAGTATAATCATTTATAATAAAATATATATAAACAACCGTTTTAACAACTCTGTTTTTATGTCTTCTGTTTGACTTAAGAAACAGGAATATTTGCCTAATTATCTTATGTGTATTATAACTTGAGATAAAATTGTTTTGTCGACCAACATCAAATAATCTTTTTATGTACTTCCTAATTTTATCTCAGAGATGAAAGACTGGCAGAATTTCTTTTCTATATGCATTTTGTTGATATTGAAATTGTTTAACATGTGTTTTTTCTATTTATTATATCGAGGTAAGCAATTTTCGTTAATTAATTTTGAATCAATATTTGTACTGCGAATGTATTAAAAGCAAATTTATTCCTATTTACTCGCCAAATGATGAACATAGATAATTAATAAAACAGATTGACTGATTGGTTGGCAAGGAGGAGTTGCAGACTCAAAGTAATCGATAAATTGATAAATTTATAGTCAGAGATAGAAGAATTAGATATATTATTGTCAAATCTTAAAATAGTTTGTTTCATGGAAATATTCATCATGATAGATAGATAGATAGATAGATAGATAGATAGACCCACAGAAATAGATAGATCGACAGATTTAGAAGCCGAAATAGATAGATAGATAGATAGATAGATATAGATAGATAGATAGGAAGAGAGGAAGAAACAGAATGTGATAGATAGATAGATAGATAGATAGATAGATAGATAGATAGATAGATAGATAGACTCACAGAAATAGACAGATGGACAGATTTAGAAGCCGAAATAGATAGATAGATAGATAGATAGATAGATAGATCAACAGATTTAGAAACCGAAATAGATAGATAGATAGATAGATAGATAGGAAGAAACAGAATGTGATAGATAGATAGATAGATAGATTCACAGAAATAGTTGGGCAGATATAGAAAACGAAATAGATAGATAGATAGGAAGAGAGGAAGAAACAGAATGTGATAGATAGATTGATTGATTGATTTGATTGATTGATTGATTGATTGATTGATTGATTGATTGATTGATTGATTGAGATAGAATCACAAACTGAAATATATAGCTAGATCGATCGACCGTTAGGTTTAATAAAAAATAAGCCTTTCAGTATATCTGTCCCCATGTTATATACTAAAACCAGTTTTATTCACTGTTTCCACAACAATCTTGTAAACAGCTTGTACTACGAGACGTGTGAATCTTTCGTCACGTCTCATCCACTGTCGAGGCGTCAGGTCGCATATGAGACTGAAACGACCAGTTCCTGTTTATACTCTGTTAATCTAATCGACATCGCATCAAGGACGGCTTGTGTTTTGTTCTACAGTTGTTTACATTGGAGAGGAAGGGAAGTTAACATTAGGAGGAGCAGCCATACTGAAACTAATATGGCTACCATCTTTGTGAACAGACGACGGTTACTTTGCGGTTCGATATAAGTGCATGTAGATTTGTGCATATAACTGAAAGTATGCATCTTTCTTTGTAATGTATGTGTGAGTGAGTGTGTCTGATATGTCATGAGCTTGTTTTTATACGTATACGCCCAAACCAGGATAACTTCCATACATCCTAAGTATTTATTTTTTAATATAGGAAAAACTTGGCGGCCGAGCTAATATGCCATTATATTTACATAGTATCATATCGCTACTTCTATGGAAAGTGCTCGGACGAACTGTATTCCTTTGGATAATAATAATACAAGATGTGGAAGGTGTTATATACTGTCAGTCCTGGTTTGGAGTAAACTACTATCAGCTCGACTCGATTCGGTATCAGCCACCCCCACGCCGGGTTGCATGGGCACAAGGCCGAAAAGAGTTTAACGTGGGTTTCCCAGGTTTAAACGGGATCAGGTTTCCACGACTTCCTCCCGAACGTGCTCTGCCTTAGCCGGAGCCTCGGAGTTCTTCACTGCTCAAAATAGCCGACCCGTACGAGGGCTGTATATGGCACAAGGACTTATTTAAAGTGGGTTTCGAGCCCGTAAGCCGTAGAACCCGTATAAACGGGATCGGGTTGGTCAATCTTCCTGAACGAGACTCTGCCCCGCGGAGCCTCGTCCAGGTTCCTCTGCTCAGAGGCAGAGAGTTCGACCGTCACAGAGCTTCTCGGCTTGATTTGGTCCCCCCCCAGGGGTTGCATCACAAGGCCGAGTTTAATGTGGGTTTCCTGGGCCCGTAGGCTCGGCAAAAATGCCCGTAGAAACCTGCATAAACGGAATCGGGTTAATCCAATCTCCCGAACGAGACTCAAGCCTTGGAGAGAGTTCGACAAATCAAGCCGAGGAGCGCGGCTTGATTTGAGAGGCGCAGTATCCATTCTGTAGTTATAGGTAAGGGACCCCTCTCTACCTCGAATAGTATTATTTAGTAAATTTAAGTAATTAATGTATTTTAATCTATCATTATACATATTACAATTCTTTTTTAATTTAATGTAAATTTCTTTCTGTTGTTTAGACCAATGGGTCTTAATTTCACGATGAACACTAAATCATTTGTCCACAGAAATGAAAAGGTGGTTGGCATTTGGGTGTATGCCAAACTAGGTGTGTAAGTAATGGAGATTTTGCCAGGAAACACAGGGTCATATTGCAGGTGAGAAAAATCAAAATAAACATGACCTTCTGGGATACAATCAATTCTCCGATAGAATTCTTGTAGTTAAACTGAAATGGAAGCATTTTAACAGATCCACCGTAGTTGTATATACACTGACAGAATTAAGTACATAAGAAGAAATTGAAAAGTTTTTACTGTACGCTGACAACACTAAAACAAGGCTCGATGTAAATCATAGGAAATTGCAATCGTTATGTTAGACCTGAATGCCAAAGTAAGGAAGATCAAAGACGGTGAAAATTTGGCAAATTCAAACTAGGAACTCGTAATGAATATGGAGAAAAACGGGTTCAATGGTTCAAGACGAAAAAAAACAAAAAAAAACAGGTGGAGCCAACACGTGGTTTCAAGAACACCAAAGACGAATATGAATATGGGGAAGCCCAGGAGGAGAATCGAAAAACAAAATCGACGGCATAACGATTAAATCCATGAATGCAATTCTACACTGTAAAAGATACCCAAGTGCTGACTGTAGGAGTGATCACTTTCCAATGGTATGAAACCTTAGAGTGAAACTACGGAAATTGAAGAGGATCAAGGCAGCGTCCAAATTACAATACGCCAGATACCTGGATTGTCCAAATTTAAAGAAGTATATGGAAAGTGTTAAAAGCAGATACAATGAACTACATAAGAATAGAAATTCGAAGTAGGACACTTTAATAGAAGCTTTAGTAACATCAACAAACAAGTTCATCCCAAAGAGAATTAAACAAGAGAAAAATAGAATAGGTGACAGATGAACTTCTCGACATGATGAAAAGGAGACAGTAAACAATGCCAAGATCTGGCACAGAATATAGAATATTGCACAAAGGAATTAGGAACAAATGCACTGAGGCAAAAGATGAATAATTTAAAAAAGTAATATTTGTAAAAGCGGTCATGTGGGTGTCTATCCAACTTCTTTATCTCTCTAGTGGGTATATCTGTAGAAGAAACTGTTTTAACTTTCATGATATATGCATATGTGTATCTTCAAGACTTCATGGCTCTCTCCACAGATATCTCTTCTTTATTATGTTTGATTTTCCAAGCATTCTTGAGTGAGTGGTTTCCAGTTTATTTTTTATATTGAATAAAATAAATGCCGCTCCCTTATATTAGTTCCCACCCAAAGCTATATAACTTAGTCTACTTTACTATATCGTCGGGGACAGACGGATTCATTATATTTCCCAGAGTAATTGTGTGAAAGTAAATATACTAGGCCTGAATTTGAATTCGACTCGTCAATTCCACGTTCCACCCCAATATACATTATGCTACCCACACGTTCAGTTTTACTTAGTACCAGAATAGCTCTATGCTAACAGTGGTGTAAATAAGTAATGAGAAAGATAAGTAAAGATAGCGTACATAAGTAATAAGAAAGAGTAACTAAGCTTCAAGCCAATCCCAAACCTGGTCATACGTAGAGATATTTAGACTGAGATAAACAGTATGTTCACACTTAGATGTGGTTAGACTAAGATCGATACGGCCTAACTGAGTTTGGTTTTGATCAGAGAGAGAATGAGAGAAAAAAGTATATGGATACCTAAATAACTTCAGATTGAAAATGATAGGATCGAAGAGATATGACGAGATGTAGATTTTGGTATATTTAAACTGATATGGTCAGGCAGAGACAAATACGGCCCGAGCTAAAGTAAAGTTTGGAATGCATATTAACAGAATGAGAAACATGTTCTGAGGAAGAATGTAGAAAGCTTGGTATATCAATAAGTCTGGCGCCTAAAGATGGAAAAAAATCCATTTAAACAAGTAATTATTATTTTTCAACATAATCTCCTTTTATGTCAAAGTACTTCATTTGGTAGTGAATATTAATGACATAAAACGAGCATTATATAGTAAAAATTGCAGATCAAAATCCAGTTAATAATTACACATAAAGCTACGAACTTACTGATTTCCTCTTGTAGAGCTCCTCAATACGTCCGTTGAAATTGCGCGCATTTATTTATTAAAATTTGATATGAAATTTCCGCTTTCCTTGGATAATATTTAACTAATAGGCATATCTCGTCGAAACACCGGTTCCTCTACGATCCCCGAAGTTAAGCAACATCGAGCCTGGTCAGTATCTAGATGGGTGACTGCATGGGAATACCAGGTGCTGCAAGCTTGAATGTGCTACGTCATGCTGTTTCCAAAGTTCTGGGGGAATGAATTGCGTCATGGAAGTCTTTTTCTCCCAGACAATGCCCAACTGACCCTGCTATACTGTGCAGCCGACAAAATCAAAAACAAACAACGCGCATGCACGAAATTCAAGAAAATAGCGACACTTTATCCATCGCACTCTTTAACTATTAACACTATTAAGTGTATATATATATATATATATATATATATGTATATATATATATATATATATATATATATATATTCATTCCAGTTTAACTAACATTGATATGACGAAGATACCGTGTGAATTTCAGCTTATAACATTTTTTTTTAATTTAAAAACAACGTATTATGTAATTATTTGGCGGGGGTGAGATTTAATCATGCGAGAATTTTTCCCATCATATTGTAATAAAATATATGATACTAGATTCATTGATGTTTATTCATTTAATTTCCAATATGTCAAAATTGCCATGGGTCGTAAAAACGACATTAACTCAAGAGATACTGAGTGATGGCCACAATCTGGAAATAGCTAAAATGTCCAGCTGAGATGATCGAACAAATAAAACAGAAAATGCATTATACATTGTTGATTCCCATGTCCATAGTGTATATAAATATTAATCACTGTATCTCCGACAGCGTTCACTTTTATCTTGTAGGCAAACTCCATCATTATAATTTAATTTATCTTATACAGTTTTGAATATTATTATTATTCTACTATTTATCTTTTATACCGTCTCCATTATAGTTCCATTTTTCCTTTATACAGTCTCTCCTATTTGTCTTGGATTCAGCCACCCATATTAACATTCAATTTATTTTATAGACATTTTTATAGGGAATCGTGCGTTTTTATTTAATCTAGTCGCATTCGGTTACATTTTCATTCACCGCAGTATAGGGAGGGGGGGGCTGAATGATTCCATCTGCTTTATCACTTTCTTCTCCTCCTCCCCGTAAAGTTTTTGTCTTATGCTTTTTATCATGCAGATTGATTCACTAATGTCTGTAACTTATCGGCCTGCATTTAAGCTAGCTTCTTCGGAGTGCTCTTAATTGGGCTGTCATCACAATAGGTCGGGAGTTGGAGATGTGATAGACAACAATAAAAAAACAGAAGAATTCCAAATTGATCATTGCATTTGTTATAAAAACTTGGGAATCGAAAATTTCAGGATTACGGATCCGGGTCCGGTCCGGAATGTTTTTAATTTGCACAAAGGTTCGGCCTGATTCCAAAATGGTTGGGCTACGTCTTCTAGGAGTAAAGTTGAAAAAGTGTGGCACAGTGACATTCGCATTTATTATATAGAAGGGGATGAGCTATTGAGAGTTGTTTATTTAATTGAAAAAGTGTGATACAGTGACATTGGCATATATATATATATATATATATATATATATATATATATATATATGTGTGTGTGTGTGTGTGTGTGTGCGTGTGTGTTTATGTGTCTCTGTGTGTGTTACACGTTTTCATAGATTTTCCTAAAATCAAAATGAAATTTGGTACAGTTTATTTGATTATTGGAATTTTTGTTGCAGTTATTTGAAACAAAGGGAAAGGGTGACATTTCGTAGCTTAAAACGGAACAAAAACACAAATGTTAGATGTGGATGAGCTATTGAGTGTTGTGTTTCTTTAATTGAAAAAGTGTGATATTGAGTCATTGGCATATATATATATATATATATATATATGAAAGAAAATATATACGGAAAAAACAAACAAACAAAATCATATATGCAATTATGCTGTTTTAATGTTAACAGAACATCGAACGTTTTCGGATCAAATAAACCATCTTCAGGACATATTCATAAAAATATAATTAACATAATCAATTCAACATGACAAAGACGTGTACATTGAACAAAGACTTATCAAACAGATAACTGAAGATGATCTTATAAAACTTTCAGTTATCTGTTTCGATGTTGAAATATTAACATTAAAAACACGTCCGAATTGCAACATATAAGGATTTTGTTTTGTTTTTTCTTCCGTATATATTTTTATCCATATATTTTGATCTATACCATATATTTATATATATATATATATATATATATATATATATATATATATGTGTGTGTGTGTGTGTGTGTGTGTTAGACTTTTCCTAGATTTTCCTAATAAAAATTATATAGTGTAGAATACCCCTCCACACACAAAAAAACAAAAAACACGAAATTTGGTACAGTTTATTTAATTGTTAGAATTTTTGTTACGGTTATTTGAAACGAAAGCAAAGGATAAAAATTTCGTAGCTTAAAACGGGACAAAAACACAAATGTTAGATGTGCTGTTCAAGAACAAGGTTTCTTGTCATTTTTCAGTTCCCAAGCTGGCTGTTCTTTCTTAAAGAGAACAATCATCTCGTGTTGAAAATTTGATCCTAAACAACAAATGGTTAAAGAAATTAGTCATTATATTGTTGCGACTACAAATGCACACGATCGAGGGATGCTGGGAATTTTAAATTTAATTTTTTTTTTAATCTAGCCGATTTCATTTTGATCCTTTATCTTTCCATCACATTTATTAGTAGATATCCCACACTATCATAATAGAAATTCTGCCAGGAATTGTGAAATGTTGTAAGAGAGACTTATGTGATTTATTGACTCTTTTGTCTTCATATGATCCCTTATTTAGATTCCTTGAGTTTGCTACTATGTATTTTTCTGTGACAGTTATTACTGGCGATCGAGTAAATTCCTGCCTCAAGTTTTAGCTTGTTGTTTAGTATTGACTAAGTCTTTTATTGTTTTAGATGTTGTAGTAACAGATAGATAGATAATTTGGTTTAAATAAGTGGATAAAAAGAAAATATAGTCCTAAGTCAAATAAGTGTGTTTATATTTACTTTCACGTTATTTCTATCATTTTTCTACTCGACACTGATTTTGATATCCCTCTATTTTTTCTCTCATTAATTTGACTCTCTCTGTCTGTCTAAATTACATTCTCTCATTCGGTGTCTCCAAAATACCCTTTTGTTCCTTCTTATTTGCTTTCTTTATTTCTTTTTCTTTTCCTCTTCTTTTCTACCTACCGACATCACCGATCTTCACACACAGCTTTTCTATCTATCTATCTATCTATCTATCTATCTATCTATCTATCTATCTATCTATTTCTATGCATCTATCTATCTTATACTGTTTCTATGTCGGTCTATTCCTATCTATCTATCTATCTATCTATCTATCTATCTATCTATCTATCTATCTATCTATCTATCTGTTTCTATGCATCTATCTATCTTATACTGTTTCTATGTCGGTCTATCTATCTCTATCTATTATCTATCTATCTATCTATCTATCTATCTATCTGTGTGTGTCTATATATATATATATATATATATATATATATATATATATAGAGAGAGAGAGAGAGAGAGAGAGAAGAGAGAGAGAAAAAAGAGAGAATTAATTTGGGGAAATTTATCAGTTAACTGAGTGATGTGTTTCAGTCACGCCGACTTCGAAGTTTCGTGAGTGCATTTTAGTAATGTCTTTACTCTTCAGAGCTGTTGCTTCTTGGAAACTTCGAAATACAAAGGAACTAGAAAAAATTAGGTTACAGATTAAAATGACCCTGAATGTAAAGGGTGTCAGTTAATGGAGAAAAAAGAAAGTATATTTTTTTTCAAAAACAAACATATTGGAGAAATAGTGGTTAAAGTTATGCGTGTTAAAGTTATCGGTGTCTGTGTGTGTATGCGTGTATGTGTGCATGTATGTGTGTATATGTTCATTTTGGTATTTCTAGCATTTGTCCACACACAATTTTTTATATATTTTTTTATTAATTAGTTTCCGTTTCTGTGTGCCTGCCTTCCATTCTCGATTTGTTTTCCGTGTGTTTTTTTTCTTTACCCCCAGCATTTTGTATCTGCCAACATTTTCAATCGTCACTTATCTTTAACCACCATTTTGCCATAGGTCTCTTTTTGAAAAATATACTTCTTTCTTTTGTTACTCATTGAATGACTTTCTTTATATTCAGAGTCTTTTAAAACTTTTAACCTCATTATCTCTTCAAATATTACTTCAGCTTGATATCACTCTTTTAATTTTCCAAACTTCTAAAATTGTTCTCAGTCTCGTTTTATTTTCCCAAAACCCACTCACTTGATTTTGACCCATATTGCTTTATGTTCATTTGGTTTCAAAACGTGTCTTGACCTCTGTGACATACGGTCAACGAAACGGGGAAGTCGAGTGGATGGCTAATTTGAATAACGTTTCAGCAGACGGCATCGATCCATATTCTGCTTTCAATGACAGCTTCTTTCCCGACAAGTGCCATTTTGAATATATGTCTTCACTTTCGCTTTTATCCCTACTGCAGACCACCATATTGTCTAGAAATAATCCATATTAATTTTATAGACGAAAAATAAAATTATACGCTTCCTGATTGCAGACCAAAAATACAAGGTGTCTTTTCCCGTTACGCATTTGCGGGCGACTCCCTATTTTCTTCATTTGTTTTCCTGACAGAGATGTTTCTTTTTCCTTCCTACCTGCTTTTTATTTTTTTTAATTAAATTCTCCTTTATATATTGCCTCTCTGTATCTTTATTCCATCTTTCAATATGGCACCATTTCATGTTGTCCCACCTGTAGACACATAAAACTTTCCCCAGCTATACCAGAGGCAACGTTCCCACTCTGCACGCTTCCAATAGTGTCAGGTACCTCCAAGGCGTCTTGCAAAGCAAAAAGATGGCTGGAAATACTCCTTAGTGTACCAACCCCACAAGGGGCAACTTGATCTGCTGCTTAGTATATTTCTTAGATTTTCTATCTCTAGTCTTGGTATGTTTGTAATTTCAGCCTCTCCGTCACAATATACTTATTCCAAGGTAGCGCAACGCCTATCAGGATTCATTTATGTCTGCTCTTGAGCATACGTGTGATATCAGCGCAGTTAATCTCCAAGTATTTTTTTAATCAAGTTCATCCC